GGTGTGTGACAGAGTAGAACCTCTCGATCCAAGAATAGACACAACTAGTGCACTAGCGGTATCTGAAGTTGCACAAAGGCCCTCCTAGTCACAACTACTACCTGCTCCTCAAAGTAGGAGTTGTCAGTTCAGAAGAATCCCCAGATTGTGCACAGAATATGGAGGAGAGCCACCCGTCCAGCACCAAATATAGTAAATGCCCAGATTCCAAAGGTCCCTAAACCACAAAGCCACTCAGTCTTGCCAGGGTTGAGCCAGAGCTTCTTGTTCCCCATCCAAATCACTACAGCCTTCAAACATTGAGTCAAGACCTCAACAACATTGCAGTTCATCAGTGGCAGAGATGTATAGCTGGGTATCAATCAGAGTACTGTTGGTACCTCATCTTATGGAGGCGAATAACCTCATCCAGAGGCTTCATGTAGATGTTAAACAGAAGACAACTGAACCCTGCAGAATCCCACATAATCAGGGCCAAGGGTGGGACTTCCCACTCCCAAGCAACACCATCTGGAACCTACCACTGAGGAAAATCAGCACAATACAGGGAGGCCCAGTCCTAACCTCCACAGTTAATCCAGAAGTATACCAGTCAGTAGTATTGTAGACTGCAAAGGGGTCAAGTAGAGTGAGGATGGATATATTACCTCCATCCCGCTCTCACTAGGAATCATCCCAAAGTGGCGCCAATGCAATTTGAATCCCATGCTCCTTTGAAACCTGACTGAAAGGGATCAAATCAATCCACTTAAATCAGAATCTGCTGAAGCTGTTGTGTGACCATCTTCTTGACAACCTTCCACAAACAGGAAGGTTAGATACTAAGTGAAAATTTCCAGGATGGATAGGTCTAATAATGGCTTCTTGAAGAAGAAGCAAACCAGTGCTTCATTAAGAGACAGAAGAATAACCCTTTCTCTCAAAGAAGAATTTACCATCACTAGAACCCTGCCACATGTCACCTTAGACACCTTAGACATGTGGCCTTAGACAACAGGAAGGGCACAGATCTAAGCTGGTGGCCAAGCTTACAGTCATAAGGACCCGGACCACTTTCTCAGGTCCAGCAGCTTTGAATTCTTCCCAGATAATATGGCAAGACTATGCCCCAGATATCTCCATCAGACTGGCACCAAAGCTGGTATCTAACTGGGAACAAAATTGAGCAATTGTATCCAAAGATGCCCTGCGTACCTCTCTGAAGGACCCTACAGGTGAACCTCTAAGTCAGGGGTGTCAAACTGCCAGCCCACAGGCCAGATGAGTCATGGCGAAATTGCGCCCACCCTATTGCTGGCAATGGAAAAAAAGTCCCGATACGTTGCGACACATCACGTGACGTTGCTAGTTTGATACCCCTGCTCTAAGTCGACTCTACCCTTAGTTCAGCTTAAATAAGAATACTGGGTGGCTATCTGCAGACGCAATAAGAGTAGGCAAATTCTAAAGCTTCATCACTCTTATCACCACAAGGTAGGCCTTAATAGCAGCTCTCACTCATGTTCAGTTGAGTTCATGGAGATCTAAACATCTCTTAACCTATTTCATCTCCTTTAGCAAGTTCATAAGCCATAGAGGGCAATGGGATCCACAGGAAGAAAGAGGTTGCATAGGTACGATCTGATCTAAAGCCTCCGCTGCCCTCTAATTCCAAGGGGAGACCAAGGCCATGGATAGTCTACACTACATAGTTAACACAATCAACTATTAGATTGTTTTGTATTTTGTTTGGGCCAAAACTTTCCCTTAACATTGATAAGAGGGGGGGAATCCCTCTCTCTGACAAGTTTATTTTCAACTGGGAATTAAATTGCTTTCAGGGTCAGGGAAGGAGGGATAATTAGTAAGATAATTTTATCTAGGGCTCTGCTAGACAAGATTAGAGTCCTGTATGTTTCCTACAGTAATTCTTTTCCAGATGTATGAAAGTAACTTTACCCTATCAGTTGCTGAGTTTGTGCTGAATCTCAGTAACTGGTAACCAGAGGAAACATAAAAGAACTATAAAGTCATCGAATCAGTTGCCTTTTCTTCCATTCCAGTATGCAACTACTGTATATCTGTTCCAAGAAAACAAAACTGACTGCTTGACTTTGTTTATATAAACTACCACTTATTTCAGAATATGGGATTGCATACTAACATTACTAAGGTTAAAAATAGAATTGTTTCACACAGCATCTTTCAAAGTTTATGCACTGCACTATTTTTTTTACCTTTTATGTTTGTGGTAATATTCTTTCATTTGAAGCATGTTTATGATAGTTGTTTCATTTTAACTACCACACAATTGTTTTATTTGTTTTTATTTTTTTTGTTAAGTTATACATTATGCAAACTGCCAGGAATTTTTAGATTGAAGTAGAACGTACATTTAATAAATAAAATACATTAAATCCCATGGGACACTGAATAAATAGATCTTCACAGGGTAAAGATTCCTATAATGGGTATTCAGGACAAGACTATTATTGTCAATCTATCTATTTGTCTGTCTGTCTATCATCTATCATCATGCCCTAATCACAAAGGATTCTCAATACTTATTATGGAGTCAACTGGAGTTATTTCATGAGTGGTTCTTAGCAGACAATGGTAAAGGTAGTCCTTGACTTACGACCACAACTGAACTCAAAATCTCTGTTGCTAAGCGAGACAGTTATTAAGAGAATTATGTCCCATTTTACAGCCTTTCTTGTCATAATTGTTAAGTGAATCACTGTAATTGTTAAGTTAGTAACACAGTTGTTAACTGAATCTGGCTTCCTCATTGACTTTGCTTGTCAGAAGGTTATAAAAGGTGATCACATGATCCCAGAATACTGCAACCGTCATAAATACATACCAGTTGTCAAGCATCCAAATTTTGATCACATGACCATGGGGATGCTGCAAGGGTTCATAAGTATAAAAAATGGTGATAAGTCCTTTTTTTCAGAGCTGTTGTAAATTCGAATAGTCACTAAATGAATGATTATAAGTTGAAGACTATCTGTATTTGCTGATACCAGAAACAAATCTAGAAATCCTACACTTATCTAGCAAGTTCGGTAAGAGGCAGATAGATGATGTTTTAAACATCACCAACATATCCTTGAATATTTCATAAAGAACATCCTAACATATTTGGAAACATTTAGAATTCAAAACTCAGTACCCACATAGAAAATCAACATATTTCATGTATTTGATAACTAACTACAGAGTCAAAAGTGAAAAGGGACTACAGTACTAGAATGGAGGTTTATATACAGTTCCTTCTCTCTCAATTGCCAAGCATTTATATAAATCAACAGCTACATGCAAATATATAAATTGCTTTGGTTCCTCATTTGTAGCTGAACATGTTTTAAACATCCTGTTCAAAGAGGTCACCATTTGTATTCCTTCAGTTTATGCTATTTCCCCAAAATAGCACCTTCTGATGTGTAGGGACTGTAACCTCCAGGACACGTGGCTTTGGGAGACACCTAATACAACCATTGTATCATATTGTCTTCAACTTGATATCTACATCTGGGACAAATCTGTCTTTAATGGTGTCATAAAAATACTACCACCATAAAAAGAAAAATTGTTAACATTCTTCAATATAGCCAAGTATTATTACTAAGGCTGGGAAGATGCAGGCTCAAGAGAGTCTTCAGCCACAGAACTTCATCCAGTAACTTGGGCCAATAAGTCTTCTAACAAACTGCTGTGAGAGAAATAAACGAAAGCTATACATTTAGTGTGCATTGTCATCAACTCCTGGCAGGATAGCAGTCTAACGACTAAGTAATAAATCTATAAAAATAATACTGGGCAGAATTATGCTGCATGTTATATAGAAACATAAACAAGGAGAGCAAATAGATGAATCTGTGACCTTGTTAGAAATGCTCAGATAGTAGTTTTCTTGCAAGGAATGAGTATTGGATGAAAGGTGAAAATGGCTGTGCATAAAATGGCTGTGTAAGTGTACATTCTCCTGCCTGTATTTTGTGTATGGAAGTGAGAACTGGGTGTCAGAAGAAGCATAAAACACAGGGGAATGGTTTGTTGAAGTGTGCACAATAAAGCAAGAAGAAAAAGAATCATGAGTGAATGTGGATTGAATACCAAAGTCAGTGACTAGTAGAAAAGTACTTTGAGATTGCTTGGATATACAGTGTGAATAAGGGCCAACTTGCAGAACAAACATATGAAAAAAGAGTGAATGGGTCTACAGCAGTTTTTCAACTTTTAAGATGTGGCTGAAGAATTCTGGGTGTTAAAATCCACACATCCTAAAGTTGCCACATTTGAAAAAATACTGCTCTAGAGGAAAAGGAAGTCATGTCTGGATGGAATTGATGAAACTCGCAGGGAAATGAAAAATTTAGAGATCTAAAGGCAGGGAAGGAAGTGATGGAAAGAAGGGTACTTTAAGGGAGACAGAGTGGATGGTATTGGTGTCAACTAGATGTCCTTTTATCTTCTGCCTACATATATTTCACATATGTATAAAAGGTAAAGGAGTCCCTGTGGATTTTACTCTGATAGCTGTTGCCAACTATATGGGATAGTATACACACACACACAAAACACCGTTGGTTGGTTCAGTTGGATGGCTATAGAAATGAGTTAATGAATATATATATACATACACATGCACACACAATTATTTCATTAATTTACTAATTCATTATTCATTTCTACACCACCCAGCTGAACCAACTGACTCTTGTATATACAATCCTGTCTCTCCGTTTGCAGCGAAGGCTCATCCCGGTCAACCTGTTCCACGCTAATATGACACTCCACCTAAGTAAGCATCATTTACCCGCAAGGCCACTCTTGTTTTCTGCTCTCCTCTCCTCTCAGGCAGGCCGCTAGAGGTCGCCCGTGAGCTCAATCACACCGCCTTCTAACTCTCGCTCGCTGCGCCAAAACGACGGTCGCGCCCGACGCGTGACGACAGCAGTTGCATCGCTGGGCGGGGGAAAGGGGGTGACGAAAAGCAAAGGGGCGTGGCCCGGAAGTCCACGGGGTACTTGGGGAGCCCCCGATATGGCCGGCGTCTTCGACATCGACCTGGAAACGGAGGAAGGGAGCGACGGGGAGGAGCCTGAACTGGGGGCCTTGGTGAGGCGGGATGGAAGATGATAGAGGAAAAGGGGTGGGTCCAGCCAGAGGAGAAGGGAAAAGGAATCAGGGCGCAAGAGCCCAGCGCACAGTTCCTAATGACTTCAATGGGGGTTAGTCCCAAGTAGGACAGGGTTGGTGTGGGCAGACCTCGATTTCCCCTGTGTTGCTGTTGCTGCTGATCATCTGCTCTGTTATCTCCCTCCACCCCGCTTGTCTCTTTTAGGAAGTGGACCCCGATTTTCGTATCAGTAGCTCAGAGTAAGTACATTGCCAGCTCTGGGTTGTTTTCCTCCTTGACGTCATTCCAGTCTGCCTTTGGGCGGAATTCTCCTGGGTTTCTTAGGCTCTTTGGTGATGTATGCATTCACACACCGTTGAAAAATAGGCTGGCAAAAAAGGGCGAAATTATCCTTTCTCCCTGCTCGGTGTGGTGTCAGCAGCTACTTCTTCCATTCTTTTAAAATGGCTTCTTCTAACTTGCTCACCATGGGAGCAGAGCAACAATTCCCATCATCCCCATACAGAATACTGTAGGGATGGAGACAATGGGACCGGTCCTTGATCGGAGGGAATCCACTAGGGAAAGACTGCAAAATGCAAATTGTGTCAACATAACATGTGATGAGATTTCTAGGTGCTGCATAAGCAAAATGACAGGTCAGCGTTTTGAGAGAGGAGATGGAAACATTTCAAGGGGACATGAAATGTCCTTGTTTCGCTACAAATTGCCCCAGTTAAATTCCTGATGATAACAATAAAGTCTGTTCCTTTGCTTCCCTGATTGAAAATTATCAGAACAAATCACAGCGTCATAACTGCCATGCTGACTCAGAGACTAAGACCCCTCTAATGCAGCATTTATTTCCTAAAACTATCAGTCTAGTTCAGAGGCTGTGGGAGAAGCTCAGATCACAGCATGGTGATGATGGCATAAGGATTTTGCATTTACAGTGGATTTCTAGCTGTTTCAACAAATGCTATTCCTAGAAGCTGTCTTTATTGTGCATTTGTCCTTTTGGCATATGAACCAATCACCATCACCATTGTAAGATAGAGAACAGAATGTTAATCACAGTCCGTGGAAAGCCAGTCTGTTATAGGACTGTTATAAAATGGTGAATGTATGCAAAGATGGCTTATTCTTAATGAAAAACACTCTCATGCAAATTGAGGCATCCAGTTTCCTCTTAAGCACTCAGAAAGCCATTTTGGGGTGTGATTACAGAAACTGGGAGAGTTGAGTTCTACTCCTCCTTTAGGCATGAAAACTAACTGAGTTGCTTCCAGTCAGTCACCCTTTCAACCCAAACCACCTCACAGGGTAGTTGTACTAAGAAAAACAAGAAGCAGGAACACTATGTATTCTGCCTTCACTTGTATAGACAAAAGCAGGATATAAATATAATAGTGAAATAAATAAAATTAAAATCTCTCTGAAGTTGCTCCTGGACTGAACTGTGGCAGAGGGTTGAAATGGGTAGCATAGATTCTGATGCTCTTTAATGTGTACAAAGGGAAGTGCTGTGTGTTAAAGAAAAATAATTACTTTAATGCAGGGGTCTTCAAACTTTGCCCTTTTATGACTTGTGGACTTCAATTCTCAGAATTCCTCAACCAGCGTGCCTGGCTGAGGAATTCTGGGAGTTGAAGTCCACAAGTCATAAAAGGGCAAAGTTTGAAGACCCCTGCTTTAATGTGCCTCTAATCAGTGTAGTGGACCTCTGAATTAATACAATTCTCCATTACTTTCTTCAATTAACATTTTCATATTTTATCTGTTCATTTATAGCTCTGTATGTTGAACAAAACAAGCATCATTTGCTTGGCACTTTTGGACTAACAGAACATCCATTTGGTATACATACTAATGACAATAATTCCCCATGGGAATGTCACATTTAGCACAAAGCTATCTGGAGAATTCTAGAATATCACATTGCTATAATGAATTTTCCTTTTTTCTTTTTGGCTTTGATCTTAATTTAAATTAATTGAAGGAAAGTTGTTTTCCATATCAGTATCTCCCAGTACTATGCACATCCATATCACATTATGGGGTCTTTGGCTTTCTGAAGAAACTCTTCATGGGGTGCTAATGGCTGCAGGAGACATAGAGCAGAGGTCCCCAACCTTTTGGGCATCAGGGACCGGTTACATGGAGAGAGCTTTTTCCGCGGACTGGAGGGGGCATGTTTTTGTGTGCTGCCTGCATCCCGTGGATGGGGCTTTGCTTATTTGTGCGAACCAGTTGCTGACATGCCGTGACCTGGTACCGGTCCATAGACCGGGGGTTGGGGACCCCCAATATAGAGAATTTTCCTTTCTTTGAATTTTAATTTATCCTAAGGTTCAGACTTGTGCTTTCATAAAATACATAGTGCCATTGTGCTGCCAACTCTTCATCTTCTCTTCTTTTTATTTTCAAAAATTGGACCCTCCTCATTTCTGGAAAGCCTCACATCTTTGTGTTGCCCTTCATTTATGTGTTAATATTTTTGGGGGAGGCAGAGTGATATAAGATTTCTTTCTTCTCTCCACAGTTTTGTGCCAGGTTATTATGAGGAAATTGAAATCTCTGAAAGCAGTGTCAACAATGGCCCAGAATGCATTGGGCCCCACTGCTTCGAGCTACTGCGTGTTTTGGGAAAGGGTGGTTATGGCAAGGTGAGCAATTCCTAAAGAGTGAGTCTGCAGGCAGAGGGTTTAGCCCTCAACCAACTAGGAGAAAAATATAATTTCTAGTAGAGGAGGAGCAAAATAGCTGCATTGGCTAAGAATCTTAGGAATTATGTATATTTGTGCATATGCATGTTTCTGTATGAAGGAGCATTCGTCTTGGGACTGCCTGTCCAGTGTCTGAAATGGTGCAGTTTGGACTGGTTTGTCTCCTTGGGAGCAGTAAGCTAGGATACTGCATTGTAAGAAAGCATGTTGACTGTCAGTGGAGAGCTGATAAAAACATCCTTAAAAGACTTTAATTAATCAGAAGGCAGAGATATTAAAGCTCTTTAATCAGGAGTGTGAGAATAGTATTCTGGATTGCCTTCACCCCATACTGTTTAAATGGTCTTGTTTGTTCTTAGGTGGGTTTTTTTTAAAAGAGAGGCTAAGTGCACAGGAGATTAATGTTAAGGAGTATGGAAAAACAGTGTTTGAGTTATTGATATCTGATTTCCCTAATATAGAAGACAGTTTTGTTTCCTCTGCAGTCTTTTCTCTGCTGGTAGCTCTATTGCTGACTTGAAGATTTTGCTTACGGCTTCCATTTTGTGTTTTAGGTGTTCCAGGTCCGGAAGGTACAAGGCACAAATTCTGGAAAAATCTTTGCCATGAAGGTGTTAAAGAAAGTAAGTATCTATCCATCTAATGCTCTGTGTGCCTTGTTAAATATCTTTGTGAGACCATAATTCTCTCTGAATATCTCCTGCAGGCCAAGATTGCCTGTAATGCCAAGGACACAGCACACACAAAGGCTGAGAGAAATATTCTGGAGGCCATCAAACACCCATTCATAGTAGACCTCATCTATGCTTTCCAGACTGGTGGCAAGCTCTACCTCATCCTGGAATGTCTCAGTGGTATGGAAAGAAGCTCCGTGGAAAGGAAACAATTGCAGTGGATTTGGCCAGAAACTTGGGACCTGACTCTTCTTCTGTGTAGATTTTAGAGGTTGGGTCAGACAATGCTGGAGAAGACTGATGGTATCTTTTTGTGCTATGTTTCACAGGAGGGGAACTCTTCATGCAGCTGGAGCGGGAAGGCATCTTCCTGGAGGACACAGCCTGGTTAGTGAAAATGATATCTAAGCCTGAACTGGAATAGCCATGAAGACTGGTGTTCACCATGCATAGGCTTTGTCTCCTCTTTCTTACCATGGTCAGAAGTAAGGTGACAATAGAGGCAACTGGAAATCTTAGAGCAGAGGAGAGTAAATCTCTCTGTACCTTGCAGTCATTCTGAAACATCCACGATTCAGAGTGATTCAGTTCCCCTTAGCTAGGAATGGGAACAGAGGCATAGGCCATTTCAGATCATTTTTCGCAGGATACTTTGCGGATAAAGTCAATTTTATTTGGCTAGATCTGGGTGCTATTGAACATAGCAGTGGTGATATCTAGTGATATTTTCTGAATCCCTGTGAGCTCCTATAACCAGAAGTAGTGGCTCTAGTGCTTTTTAGGCAGAGTTCTGCCACCTGGTCTCTTCAGGTGGCCTGATGGGGGGGGGGGTGTATGTATCTGGATGTGAGAAGTAGTTAATGCTTTTCTAAAAGAGGGTGCAGTGCCATCTGCCATAGCAATGTGATGGTGCACCCTTTAAGAGACTATCTCTTGATCCAGCTGTATTGGGTAATGTTTATGGAGTCTCCATTTTTGGAAAACATTGTGGAGTGGTATTGGCAAATCAGCTACAAGTGGATTATCTGGATCCCTTGAAGTCAGACTTCAGGCCCAGATATGGGATGTAAACCACATTGATGCTTTAGTGCAGGGGTTCTCAACCTTTTTAATGCCGCGACCCCAACCGGTCGTAAGTCGAGGACTAAACCGGTCGTAAGTCGAGGACTAAACCGGTTGTAAGTCGAGGACTTTCCCTGCCCGGGAGCGCCGCGCATGCGTGGTTCCGCCCCCTGCACCGGCCGAGGCGTAGCTGGCAAGTGGCAGAGACGGAGCAGGCCGACCACCAGCTGGCCCAGCCCAAGGGAGGTAAGGCACCCGCCGGAAAAGGGGAAAAAAATGGCAGACAAAAAAAATGGCGGACAAAAAAAATGGCGGACAGCCTTGCTTGGCGACCCCCGTGAAATGGTTGATCGACCCCAAATGGGGTCCCGACACACAGGTTGAGAACCACTGCTTTAGTGGATGGTCTTCATGACAACATCCTGGTCTTATTACACCTCTCGTCCTTAAGGGTGTGATGGGTTTGCTGCTACCAGCAAGGATAGGCAACCTCGGCTCTTTTATGACTTATGGAGTTCAACTCCATGGCTGACTCGGGAATTCTGGGAGTTGAAGTCCATGAGTTATACAAGAGCCGAGGTTGCCTACCCCTGACCTAGTGGATGGTTTCGGTCAACATGTGGGATGTTGCTCCAAGATAGGTTCCACAAAACTGGATCTTGTTAGTCAGCATATATACATAACCACAAGGAGAGGCCATCTGTTAGTTCATGGAAAGGTATCATCGGTATGCTGAGGAGACTCAACTCTTCCTTGCTATTCCTGGCTATAAGTGGCTCTGGGTAGGGAGATTATATCAAATAAATGTAGATATGTAGATAATTTCTGCTGCATTTTGAAATGTACAAACTGTTGTTTTCAGATATGTAAAACACATGCCAAAGCAGTGCCCAAGTGGCAAGTGGGGAAGGTGGGGAGAGTTGACTAATGAAAGAAGGTCATTGTATTTAAATATATGGACACATTTCCACCTCCCTTCTCGGATTGCCAAGTCTCATAATTGCTTGTGGCAGTTTGTGTCCTCCTACTGATTCTTCTGTAAATGCCCTCCTCCTTTAATTGGAGCTAGAAGTGGGAAGATAAGTGGAAATAAAGTACAGATAATCTTAAAATAATGAATTCCTGCAAAACCATCTCCTTGAATATGCAGAATATGTTCAGAGAAGATTTTAGGATTGTGAGTCTCTGTTGTTTAAAATACCAGATGCCATTTGATCCTTCCTGTTTTCCCAAGCAGAAGGTAGTTATTTTCAACTGAGCTTGAAAGTGCAAAGTTTCATCTCAAGGTCCTTTTCTATCAGCTGAGTTCCTGATTTCTATAAATGGATTAAAGTTGCAGATGGCCCTTTCTCCTAGAATCATTTCAGTGAAATCAGACTCTCACCACCAGCTTTCATTAAGAGTTATTGACCCCCTCACAGATAAATGAGGAAGCATCTTCTGAGCTATATGGATTGCTTGGGGTTATGTTGTTGATTAGATCCCTTTTGTGTTCTGCCAGTTTCTATCTGAGCGAGATCACCCTGGCTCTTGGCCATCTCCACTTTAACGGCATCATTTACCGGGATCTTAAGCCAGAGAACATAATGCTAAATAGCCACGGTAGGGAAAGCATCTTTGTTTACAAAGGGAGGGGAGGGGAGGGAGGATGCAGAATGTCATCTGTACTACGCTGTGATCCCAGCCAGGGCTCTAACAGGACTTTGACTTTCCAATTACTTCTGCAGGGCACATTAAACTGACGGATTTTGGGCTTTGCAAGGAATCCATCCATGATGGTGCTGTCACCCACACCTTTTGTGGCACTATAGAATACATGTAGGTGATGACGGCTCATGAGCACCTTTAGGATACCTGTTCTGGGTTGGTCTTAGTTTGAGGTTGACTGGTTTAATAATTACGCACTGATTTCTTTGTCTGCCCTAAATTCCAGGGCCCCAGAAATATTGATGCGCAGTGGCCACAATCGGGCTGTTGATTGGTGGAGCCTTGGTACCCTGATGTATGACATGCTCACAGGATCGGCAAGTCTCGCTTGTGCTGCTTTTGGAGGCAGGGTGGAAGTGGCAGAGGATGCAGTGGTGGGAGGGAGTGAAGGAAGAATTGCAGATCAGTTGTTCTCACTGGATAATAGATAAACTATTGCAGAGATTCTCATGTTGAAGTCAGCTGGCTTTTGACAAAGGATAGTAGGAAGAATGCCTTATTGTCATAATCAGCACACTGCACAGTTTCTGACAAAGGGCAATATAACCAGTACAAGCATTATTAGATCTGCCAACTAAACCATTAACAGGGCTATTGATATTTTGCTGTCTTGCTATCTCTTTTGCTTGGTCCGGGCAAAAACCCACTGGCTGGACTTTGTTTTTAAGGGACTTATATTTATGTTTGAATTTGCTGCCAAATTCCTTCATCTGCCTGTTGTTACTTTTACTTTCTCCCCCAACACCTGCCTAGTCTACTCCCTATTGTCCCTTGAGTTTTCAGGATCACTTATCTTAAGCCCTTTGTGTTAATGCAGCCTCCATTTACCGCTGAAAACCGCAAAAAGACAATTGACAAAATCCTGAAAGGCAAGTTGATGTTTCCACCCTACTTGACTTCAGATGCTCGGGATCTGCTCAGGAAGGTATGACTGTGTATATCTCGTACGATTGGGCTACAATCTGATTGGAATTTTGAATCTTACTTATAACGTTAATAACTTGGCTTCTCCTCCCAGATATTTTACTGTTGTTATCAAGCCTCTTCCCAATCCAGTGTTTATTTTTCCAACATAGTTAGGGGCTATGGTGACTGCGGATGATAAGAATCAAAAGTCCAGCGTATTCAGAAGGCATCAGGTTTAAGAAGGTTTCAGTAATTAGCAGCATGATAAATGTAATAAGGATGGTTTCGTTAATAAAACCGTAGATTAACAGTATCAGTATGGATTTTGTCATTCAAAGCTAAGTTGGCTGACTGATAAAACTCTGCTCAAGGCATTCCATTCATATATTCCTAGGAATATGTTTGGTGAATTGACATCTACAAAGAGAAGATCTGTATTGGGCGTCATATTGAATTTTAGAGGGAAGAGAAGCTTAACGCATGATTGGTAAACGCCTCCCTTCACAGAATGGAGTTCAGAAGGGCTCTCCGGAGTACATGTGTATCTGAGCAGCTTCCTTCCTATCACACCTTTCAGTGCATGATTTGCCATTCTTTTTCTTAAACGTGGGTAGTTAGGCAAGTGCCCAGAATGTGCTGATCACCTTTTCCTGGACTTAGAGCAGGGGGTAGGCAACCTTGGCTCTTTTATGACTCGTGGACTTCAACTCCCAGAATTCCTGAGCCAGCCATGCTGGCTCAGGAATTCTGGGAGTTGAAGTCCACGAGTCATAAAAGAGGCAAGGTTGACTACCCCTGACTTAGAGTAAGCCCGGATGGTTTTCTGGTTCCTTCTTTCCTATCAAAGTATAGTTAGCTGCTCTTGCCTTTTAGTGACCTATTTGTTTTATTACACCCCCCCCCCCCAGCTAAGAATGAGGAGGAGGTCCCGTTCTCGCTCATCACCACAACAAGGAACCATTTTACAGCATTAGAGTAGTCCTGCTGAGCTTATGTTCACCTACTTGCTCCACTTGGCCCCGACTGAACAGAAAGAGGTAGCAGCCCAGTGGCAAAGCACATTTGATTACAGGTGGTCCTCGCCTACTGACTGCTTGTTCAATGAGAAAAAGAAATGTATGACCAGTCCTCAGAGTTGCAGCTATCCCTGCAGCCATGTGATCGCAATTTGAGCACTTGGCAACTGGCACACTTTTAAAACAGGTGCAGCTCCGGTGGTCATGTGATTGCCATTTGCGACCTTCACAGCTGGCTCCCAACAAGTAAAGTCAATGGGAAAATTGGTAAGAAGTCAGAAGCTGAAATCATGCGACATTGTGTTTAATAGCCGCAGCCGATTTGCTTCAGGACCACAGCCAGAACTGATATCTAAAATCAAGTGCGATCATGTGATGTGCCACTTTATGACTGTGTGACTTAGTGTGGAGTTTCCAGTCCCAATTAGAGTTGGTAAAATGAGGACTGTACTGAATGATGCTCAAAAGTGGGCTACGAAGGAGGACGGGATCCCCATCTCAGTGGAATGCAGCGGTGCTGATGACTTGAATCTCTTGCCAGAATAGGAATGCGGTCTTTACCACAAGGACAGGGCTTGGTGAGCACTTCTGTGCGGAAAGAGATCCAGTTAAGCCAGTTCTGTGGTGAATAACATCCTGAATCAGGATGAAATGGAGGTTATTGTGAGGCCGTCCTAATGGAATGTTTTTGACTCTTGAGTTCTGAGTTCTCAGTGAGTGATTTTCCTTTTGGCATTATCCGAAGCAGTATTTCTTAAAATATGCTTCTTTTCTTTCCCTAGTTTCTCAAAAGGAACCCCAATCAACGAATTGGGGGTGGGCCAGGTGATGCTGCAGATGTTCAGGTAAAGCAGATGGGGGGGGAGCAGGTTTTCTCTTGACATATCCAAGAATTTGGAATTCTGAGCAGCTTTCTTCTCTTTTGACGAACAAGTTAAATCTGAAGATGATTTTGAAGAGGCTACTATAAGCAAGGGGCTATCGCCTCAGCAAGCTTTACAAAAGAAGGCAGGGCATCAGCACCTTGCATCATTCTTTCTCTACCCCATAATTAAACGCTTAAGACTATGAAAGTTATTGCTCTCTTCAGCTGCAAACTATGGTGGTGGTGGAGACAGAGAAATTTTTTGATATTAGAAGTGAATATCAGTGGATCTTTTAAGTGTAGAAGGACCACAATTTTATAGAAATTTGAGATTTGGAATATGAGGACTATGTATTTGAGGATTATTCATGCATTTTAGATAGTATTAAGTTCTTTATTTTTCTCTTTTAGAAACACCCATTCTTCCGACACATTAACTGGGATGACTTGTTGGCCAGGAGAGTTGATCCACCATTCCGGCCATTTTTGGTAAAGACACCACACCTCAGTCCTCATTCTTCCTATTATTCCCTTTTCTCTACTTTATGGTCTTGTGCTTGACCATAATAGGCCTTCTCAGAATCTTGATTTTGATTTGTAGCTTATATAATGACAGATTGTTAGGGACTGCTAAATTGGATGAGGCTTTTATTGGATTTTCATTTCACATAAAGAGGTTTTCTGGTATAAAAAGGTATAATTTGCCTAGTTCTCATATATTGTTAAGCCTGGTCCTTTTGTACCAGGGGCTAATATTGTTTTGTTTCGGCTCTTTTCCACCATTTTCTTGGTGAAAATTGGGATTGCATTGCTGTTAGTTGACAATTTGTTGCCAGATTTCTGAAGTATAGCCTTGGGATGGATCCATGACAAAGTTGCAGAAATGGAGTAGAGTAGCTACTCAATTTGAATTGCTTCCTTCTAGTAAACTGCAGTGGCTATATTTATTGATTATACAAAGCTAAAGCCAAACAAGCTAATACCTGCCCACTTCACATGCTCCTTTGACTATTTTACACTATCATGCAGATTTTCATTCACTTTAAACCTGTTTAATTCTACCTTCACTACATAATTTTTTATCCCCCTTTGGTAAGTACAACTGTATGATATCTAATCTTGTTATACAGTATAGCTCAGTGATGGCGAACCTTTTAGAGACCGAGTGCCCAAACTGCAACCCAAAACCCACTTATTTATCGCAAGGTGCCAGGGCTGCATCAGTATTGTGGTGCCCTCAGGTGGGGTGTGGGGGCATGGGCCACTGGGTGGGCGTGGCTGCAGTGGTCACGGCAGACTGGGTGAGCATGGCCAGGGCCAGGGCGGCGGGGGCCAGTGCTCGCTCACTTCCTGCCCTGTCGCTTCCAAACACCACGTGCTCGCTACTCTGGCGAACTCTGCTGGGGCAATGGCGCACGTGCCCACAGAGAAGGCTCTGAGTGCCGCCTCTGGCACGCGTGCCATAGGTTCGCCACCACTGGTATAGCTCCTTTACATCATGTGCATACTTCTCCACGAAATTTCTGGAAAAAGAAAACTCTTCATTTGTGTAGATGCTAACATGGACTAGAATTCACCCATAACCAAAAGGCTAAATGATAATATGAAGAGCTATCCAGAACATCTTTTTCCATCCACAGCAATCGGAAGATGATGTCAGCCAGTTTGACACCCGCTTCACTCGCCAGACACCTGTGGATAGTCCTGACGACAGCTCTCTCAGCGAGAGTGCCAATCAGGCTTTTCTGGTAAGGAATGACCAGCTGGAACTATAGTGAGAAGAAACAAGAGTAGCAAAATCATTTTTACACTCCTGTTATGAAGCAAAGGAGAGAGCCTCTTTCATCCCAGTTGCTCCTTTCCCTATGACTATCCTTTGGGGACCACATGCCAGCTGTGGATAAGACCAGTGCCAAAATTTACTGGTGACTCCAAACTTTTTGAAAAAGTCTTAGCAACCACTTGCTGCTTGGAAGAAAGCTTTCTTAAAGAGGTGGCTTGAGATCCCAAAGGTGCTTTTTCAAAAGGCAACTAGTTCAGAACTGAAGAAGCTTCTTGGATGTGAAGTAAAACATCTTCAGGGAAAACAAAGTCCATTTGCCTTTTGAAAAAAAAAAAACACCTTTGGGACAACCATGACCTGGATGACTGAGGATCTCCGTAGACAGCTGGCTTGAGAGTTAACTCTTCTTAACCACCCTTGCCAACTGCAGTCTTAAAGGTAATCCTCTCCTCTGCAACAAACAAGCAGATCAAAAATAAAAAGCATTTTAAAGCTTTTAAATGTGTCATGCAAGGGGAGTCAAAGGGAACCTAAGCTGAATCCAGCAGGTGATTCTAACTTTTGATGTAGAAATTAAATAGGGAACTTAGGGCATTCAACAGGTTATTGAACGATAACTTTCAGCAACTATTATTGGCCACATTAGTAGGGGTTAATGAGAACAGTTGTTTGCAACATTGGGAAGGCCATAAATTCCTCATTGTTGATCGAAAGAAAGAAAGAACATAACTGAACCCAGTTCCTGAAATGAAATTACGACCATAGCGACTCTGATCAGATGTTCCTTCCTCTAGGGATTTACCTACGTGGCTCCATCTGTGCTGGAAAGTATCAAAGAAGGGTTTTTCTTCCAACCCAAGTTGCGATCTCCACGGCGTCTCAACAGCAGCCCCCGCACACCTGTCAGGTAAAATCTGGAGAAAGAGAGTTGGGAGAAAGGCTAGATCTTCGGGACATGCAGGGGCTGGCTGCAGGAAGAGGGTGGTGCCTGCTGAGTCCTTGCTTCCCCAAAAGGAATGCTGTCTCTTAAGGGTACCGTTTGCCCTTCTGTCCAGGTACCAGAGCCACAAGCAAGACTTTAAATGACTTAACTCTCTAACCTGTGCTTGTTTTTGCAGCCCACTGAAGTTCTCACCCTTTGACCCCTTCAAGCCAAGCACAACGGTAGAGTTAATGGAGCTGTCAGCCACCCCTCCTGGGCCTGTACTGGAAGTCACGGCTCCATTGCCCATCAAAACACCTTCAGGCACCAAAAAGAAGAAAGGCCGAGGACGGGCACGATAACTGGGCAGCAAGGAGATCTCTGGATATGCATCATCAGGTGGAGCACTGGGGTGGGGCAGTGGGTGGTCAGGATTGTGTCTGTGGGACTTCAAGCCCTCCTGGAAGTCCCGTTTTACCTTTCAGTTCACAGGGCCACCTTCACTCCCAGCGAGAAAGGGATACCTGATGTTGGTGCTTCCTTGATGTCAGGACTAACTCAGCCATGGTGCTTTTAGTTCAATCTACAATGAATCCTGGAGGGAAGAGAATAATTTGGGATGCACAAAGGAGCTGTGAGCAGCAGAATTCTGCCTTATTATCACCCTGGGAACATTTGTCTGAGTGCATCTTGGAATTTTGCAGAGAGGCTAGTCAAAGAAAAAGCACATCTCTGGCTTACATCATGGCTGCTCTAATTGAAGGCTCAGGACCTGTAAAGGAAACAAAGCAACTTTGAGAAAGTGGAAGGAAGGATCAGACTGCTTCTTCTGGGTGGAGCTGCCTCAGGTCCCAGGAAACTTCTTTTCCTGTCTTCTTTTTCCAACATGCATCCGTTTGCCAAAAATGACCACTTCTCCCTCAGTGGTGGTTGTTGCAAGATAAGTGCTCACCCAGGGCTGCTGTTGGATCTTCTCTGAAATACTGGTGTCCTTAGCCACAAATGAATCTTCGCAGTTGGCGCAGTGACATACCTGGCTCATATTCAGAAAATTGAGTGTTGTGCTGCATAGAAAAATTAATTGGCTGTCGGAATTGCTGCTGAGAGAAATAACTAAGCAAAGAGAGCTAAGTGGTTTTTTTTTTTTTTACAAAATCAACTATTGAGATACAGCCACCAGTTCTCTGTTTTATTGTTACAGGGAATATGCCTTTTTTTTTTTTTTTTTGTTTGACAACAAGCTTTTTGGAACAGGTTAGAAGAAGCAAATGCAACTTTACAAACAGTGCTGCTCCCCAGTGGAAGCAGTACACAAAGCAGAGTGACAGCAGTCTTGGGTTTCCCATATGTGGGTCTGATACCAAGCATGACAAGCTTGTTTGTGACAGGTCCATCCTTCCCTCCTCCCTGGGATTTCTAGAGAGCAGTGACATTCAGTGGTTTGCCACTATCTTCCCAGGATGCTGTTCCAGAGAAGGAATGCAGATGACTCAGTAGAATTTCTGCGCTGCTCTGGGCTGCCTTTGATGCTTCACCTTCTTCCAAGGCCTCCTCCACTGCTGCCTCTTGATAGGCTTCCTTAGTCAGCTTCTCTTCTTCCTCCTGAAGGAGCTGCTGCTGCTGCTGCTGCTGCTGCTTCTCCTCCTCCTCCTCCTCTGTCTCCTCCTCTTCTCCTTCTTCTCTTCCATTCTCCACATGCTGTTGCTGCTCTTCCTCAAGCTCCCCATCGCTCTGTTTCTCATCCTGGTAGTCCTCAGCCAAGGCTTCAGAAAGTGTCTCCCTCCAGAACTGTTGCCACCAAAAAACCAGGTTTCCCATCAGGTGCCGAGGGTGGTACCTTCCTTCCGTTGCACGGTTCAACCAGTACCATGCTATAAACAGCAGCAGCAGCAGCACAAACAACAGGCAGATGAGGATACTCACTGTGACATTCCTACGGTCACTCCTGCCACTCTCTAGAATCTCTGCCTGGATTTTCCCAGGAAGCAGCAATAAGAGAATGTGGGGGAGCCTCAGTTTCTGTAAAAAAGAAAGGAGTCTGGATTAGTCAACAATCCTAGCTTCTTTGGACACTTCCGTGCAGCCGCCTGTCTTGCTCCTCAAATCTTCAACAGGAGCATCCGGGTGCTGGACTCTGTCTTAGGGAGGCTCCCAGTGCTCCTTCTAGCTAGCTATTGGTGCCTGACAAGCTAGCTCCTCCCAATGCACCCTCATTCTTCTCATGCCATGAAACCAAAGTCAGCCATTATTTGTGAGGAGCAGCCATGCCTCTTCTTGGGAAGCATGAGATGAGGTGGCAAATACGCCACGGTATGCTGGGTAGAGGGAAAGGGGGAAATCCCAAGAAATGGAAGGCAGGATAAGGTAGGAGATCCCACCAGTGGGAAATGGGCTGCCCCATAAATCCAGAGGAGATGGTGCACACCTGTCGTGGCAATGTTTCCTCCATAGCACCTTCCAAGCCTATAAGCCCCCATATGGGGTGGTGACTCATAGGACTAGCACAAATCTCAGATCAGCACAGCCTTTGGGTGTGAAAGGGCCATTATTTGCTGTATTCATCCCTGAAGCAATTCTGTAGCTATGGAGTCTTGGAATTCTATACTAAAAAATTAAATTGCACAATAATTGGCCTCAGCTACAATTTGTAAGGGAAAGCATGGTCAAAAATGAACTGGAAACCTCTTGCCATTGCTCAGGAGCTATTTAAACTTTACCTGTTAACCAGTTAGCTACTACCCTACCTCAGATGACTTGTATTTTAAAAATAGTACAAAGAGTTTCATCTCTTGCAGTCTATGTTAGATACTAGGGTAGTTGTGATGTTAGGCACTTTGCAGCAATGCTGCAGTCTCATAACTCATACGATGCATGCTTCCTGCTATAACAACAGCATGAGAGAGAGAAAGAGATTTAAGATTTTGTCCTTGCACAAGTTCTACCTTTGTGGTTATTTCTGAAGATAAAAGACCCATCCACATAATACTCAGGGCCAAATATACTCTGCACTTAAAAAGGGAGATTATGTACCCAGAGAAACTTAACTCTATGATTTTAGAAATAAATGCACATGTGTATTATTTTTTACACATCTTTCTGATATTTTTAGATAATTTATTCTGGATTGCGTAATTAAGGAACTAGGAGGTAAGAACCTCTGAAGTCTCATATCTGGCAATCTTCAGCTACTGGTTTGCTCTTGTAAATCCCGCTAATATTGCCCAAATCCTTTGTTTCTTCCTGCTCTCTTTTGACTAAGTGTCTGCTAACAGTGTGCTACTTTAAAAAAATAAATGCTGACGTTCTCAGAAATTTGTTTTGTGATCAAAATGAATGGGTTTTTCTACCTGGAAAAATGGGAAATCAGCAGAAATCTCAGCTTTTGTTTCAGAAGGTAGGAACTATGTCTTACATCCATGTCTGTTGTAGCATAGGCATGTCCAATGTTTTGGCTTGCCTGGGCCACGCTGAGTGAAGAGGAATTGTCTTGGGCCGTGTATGAAATATATAATATAGTTAATGTATGTAAATAACAAACTTTATTTTGGAGTTCTTGTGGGGCTGCATTACTAGCTGTTCATGGATGCATGCAGCCTATTGTAGCATCTACATGAGACACTGAAAGGGAGCTGCATAACATCTTAAAAAGAGGGCAAGATGCTTTTTGCAAATACAGGTAGTCCTTGACTTAATGACACAGTTGAGTCCAAAATTTATGTTGCTAAGTGAGACAATTGAGTTTTGTCCCATTTTTCGACATTTCTTGCCACAGTTGTTAAGTGAATCACTACGGTTGTTAAATTAATAACATGGTTGTTAAGTGAATCTGGCTTCTCCGTTGACTTTGCTTCTCAGAAGATCATAAAAGGAGCTCACATGACCCCAGGACACTGCAACCGTCATAAATATGAATATCAGTTGTCAAGTGCCTGAATTTTGATCACATGACCATGGGGATGCTGCGAAGGTCGTAAGTGTGAAAAATGGTCATAAGTCACTTTTCCAGTGCCGTTGTAACTTTGAACAGTCCCTAAATGAATTATTGTAAGTCGAGGACTACCTGCCGTCCTGTCATACACTTGGACAAACTCTTCCCGTCACCTAAACAGGACAGATAATCTGAAGGAGTTTAAACTGATTTAATGTATTAAGCTGTTAACATTTTCATTGGCTATTGCAAATGTGGTTAATGATTTAGTGTGTTGTGTGAACTCAGGATAATTGGAGTGCTGTTCAATAAACCTGGGATCCTCAGTGTTGGGCCTCATCTCTGCCAACCCTTCTGCCAGCCTTGCGTTTCTTTTAAAGAATCTGCGTTTTAAATAGGAAGGTCACAATCATGTCATCTGCATGTTTTTTATTTCTAAGGAGGATCTTTGGTAGTTTAAAAATAAACAACTAAAATGTGGTCCTGAACTTTATTTTGAAATATACTTATCTGCCCAGAAGAAGAAAAAATTAACAGTGCTTAGTAGGGAGCAACCTAAGAGATTTTTTGGGGGGGGGGGGGTAGTGAGAAGCACTGTTTATTCTGGGTGCTTAGAATGATCGGCCCTTGAGGAGGAAGCTGTAGGAAAAAATGGAAATGTTCAGAAAGTGAGCTTACTGAGGAAGTAAATAAGACGGTTAGCAAGAGTTTTGTGGTAAAGTTCAGGTGTGGGAGATCATTAACAAATCCGGTGAATCGAGCAAAGAACAGAAGAGCTGTTGGATGGAGTTGACTATGCAGTCCTTATTTGCAATATTTTGTGCATATTTTGTGTTCTACCTGAAAACCACAAAGTGAATGCATGCTGCAAATTCTGACTCACTGGCTGTACTTGAAGAGAGAGAAAAATGGATCAGAGCGGGAGCTTTTATTGGCTGATAAAAGAATGTTCTTGAGCCAAACCTAGGAAATGCTAGACTTAAGAGTGGATACAAGTTGATGTGTTCCACAAGGAAGAGAGAAAAGTAACAAAGTCTAATGGATGAGAGTGTTTGCCAGAAAGGATCTTCTGAAGAAATTTTCCACCATTAAAAATAATTTCTAGGATTTCATTTAAAAAAAAAAACCCTGGGTTTGTAGGGAAGAGACAAGTACTTAAGCTAAACAGGAGATGAAAGACTGGAGGCATGTTAGGTTAGGTTAGGTTAGGTTAATTTAATTTGTATACCGCCCTTCTCCCGTAGGACTCAGGGCGGTTCACAGCATATTAAAAACACAAATACAATATACAAGATACAAAAAATCATACAAAAATACACAAAATAACCCCACTAAAACCTAATTAAAAGCCAAATATTGATTGCTGTATTCCCATTAAAATTACTTT